ATTTTACCACATCCGAGGCAGCTATAAATTAATCATCTGTCTTTTCGCCTATACAGCTACTAGCTTTCCCAGGTACTTTGAGCAGTGCTTCATCGACTGGCGGTCCTGGCGTTCGTTTCACTTGATAAAGAGATTTCCAGCTCATCTGAGGCTTTAAATCAGGCACGGGCAACCTTTCGCGACATGCGGGCCTGATTTACGCACTTGAGCGCGCTGACCACCTCTTAATAAAACCCATCTAGCAATGCATCAGTTTTGCCCGTGCAACCATGCGTTTTTGCGTTAAACTTGATGCAGTCAGATCGTTAACATTGTGAATGGTTGTTGCTTCACAGTTTAATGCGTGCAACTCATTTGTATGTGTTTTGGTCTTTTCTTGCATGCGAAGAAAAAGGGCTGCCCTGGTGCGCATCGTTATTTATTTTCACGAGAATGCATTGGCGTGACGGAGTACAGACTTCTCTTCGTCTAGTTAGGCACTACATTCCGATTGCCTTCGCGGTCGGATCCGGCCTGCGGGCCACCGATTGCCCACCTGCGCTTTGGATGTTTCGAGATGCCTTTGGCTTATACTGAGTTTCTGCACCTCTCTTGTCTCATCCAACTCAAAAAGTGGTGCAATACTGACTGGGATTAAGAAAGACCACACCACATCTGATGGCAAAGGATAAAAGGATGGAAAAAGCGGCTGAATCAGCTGATGAGAAAAGACTTACGTTCATAAACTCACGGAAAAACTTACGAAAAAAAACATTCATATTTCATTGTCTGCGCAAGAAAAAATGACCGAAACAATATCACTTTGTCAACACCAACCATGAACTGTTATGACTGAAGAAACTGACGATTGTTTTGGCGGAAATTTTGCCATCCGATACGAGTTATTCGTTCTCCTTTCCAACGGTTTCCCGATACACCGCAATGTTACATCACCTTTACCAGCACGAATAAAATTTAAGAATTTCTACCATTACCATCTTACGGTGCAACTTCCACACCATCGAAGTGATATTAACAATTTGTTGAGTTTTTCCTAGTTATTGCTTCTTTCAGTAGCTGAATTAATAAATTGAGCAGTAATTTGATGCTTAGTTCTGATCCTTAGCCAGTAGTTTGTGACATCTGTGGTGCCCCATCTCATCGATTTAATGTTCTTCAGTGTTATTTTAGATAGCACTGAAACGATCCGATATGTTATTTGCATTTTTGACAAGCGAACAAGAGCTGAAGGACTCGACGCAAATCTCGGATCTTTATCCATGGAATGTAAGTCGGCTGGAAATACAGTAGCATTGATATGGAGCGCACCCAAATTCCCTACCTTTTATTTTTGCAACACATCAGCTTTTGCACCTTTCGATTGGTTTTTTTTTTTTTTTGGTCTTTGTTTCCAGTTTAAGCTTACTAATAGCAAAAATGAGATTTGAATGTATACTTGCTTATGCGCTGCAGTGGCTGACATTCCTTGTGGTCCGTACAGGCTGATAACAAGTCTAGTAAAAGGTAAAAGTGATCATCTATACACAGATGGTGCCGGTCACTCGTCCCGTGATCCTGTGGCATTGCTGGCCGTAGTTTGAGTGATGAGCGTGCGAAAGAACT